ATGTTGGGATATATTAAAGTTAAAATAGTACTTTCCAGAAGAACTAACATAAACTTTTAACATTGGTTACCACTAAGGAATGAATGCAGACAAAAATAGGAGGATATTTTCTCACTTTGTAGCTTTTTGTATGGGTTTTTTTAAAAACCATATTCAGACATCCCTTCTGTAATATTTGAAAGGAAAATATGTAGACAATACACTGCTAAGTAAAATAAGAAAGGTGTAAGAGTGTATATACAACAATCCAAACTGTTAACTGTTAATGCATACATCCCTGGGTGAGGGGCTGGAGATGGAAGAACTTTATTTTTTACTGTATTTCCTTTTTTAAAAAACAGCAAGCATGCTCTTGGTTGCACTGTCTTGTGACATCACACCTACTGACAGTGGATAAATGACATGCCCAAATGAGATCTTGTGTGAAACACTTAACAGTAGAAAGGCAATTTGAAAGGAATAATAAATGTTTATAGATGTTTTTCTTTAAAAAAATTCAATTTCCAAATCTGGTAAGGGGAAAAATGATATAATTCTATATGCTCAGCTTCCATTTCAAGTTATTTATAAGCCCACCGCCAGTAAAATACGTTAGAAAAAAATTAAAGAGAAAGAATAATTAAAAGCAGAATTTAGAAGCATTTAACTGAGGCCTACCAAACCCCCAGCATTTTCAAAGCACTACAATTGTTAAAATACCTCCAATCCTAGGCGAATAGCAGCTTCTGTAAAGCTTCGTCTTTCTCTCTCAAAATTCTTTTTTTGCTCTTTAAAAAGGGACCATTCTTCTTTGAGGCGTTCCTTTTCTTCCAACAAATAACAATCTCGTAACAGTGACGTGGTATCATCATCACAGGCAGTAGCGAGCTGCTGCTATTAAATTTTAAAACATAGTAAGTTTCAGAGGATTCCCTGTAACACCTCAACAAGTTGAAATGAAAGCAAGGGAAGGCAGGTCAAACTTTAGGGCAAAACAGAAATTATGAAGAATCAGAAAGTCAAATGAGGATTCTCATTTCCCAAATGCTACTACCCCAACTAGCAAAGCATGGACTATTTAAGGAATGGCATGCAATGTATCTGTCAGCAGGGAACTTAGTTTAGCCTGGAAAAATGTCAAAGACTATGGACTTTATGAAATAAAAGAATATAAATCTAGTAAGATTCAGTAAAATTCTGGACTTTAACAGAGAACAGCTTTAAAAGGTAATTTGCCTTTACCTGTAAAAGTTGCTGCTGAGTTTTAATCATTTCTTTACATTGCTGAATTTCTAACTCAAGTTTTTCAGTTTCTTGTTCATGGTCTTGTCGTGAGATTACATCTTCATCATTAAATCCTTCTAATTGTACCTTTGAAACTAACAGAAATCCAGTAAGTTGACATAGGTTTTACAGGCATTATTTAGTTTATGGGATTTTGACACATAAATTTAAAAATCAAGGCCCTCAGAACTTCTCTCTTTCTGGAATCTCATAGGTTTTCAAAAAGGTAGTTATTTCCTTTGGCCTTTTAAAATTTCATAAGCTATAATAAAATGAAATGGTTATTATTTTAACACGATGAAAAATGTTTTAAAAGCAAAGCAACTGCAAGGATTCATGACAACTATAAACTTGTATGATTTTAGGGTTAAATGATATGCTTAAAAATAGAGCTCTATTGCCAACTTTTTTTGGTAATATATACTGATTCAAGACTATGCTCTAATTAAAAACAATGTGGCTATATCACATAATAGAAAAATAAATTTATAAACTATGTTCTTGTTGATACTGCTTCAAAGATGAAGTGCTACAAATCTTGCTCTCATATTAAATTCAACAGATATGAAGTCCAAATATACTTGCTGTTTACTAACAATGATGCCTCAAATAAAATCTCATCAACATTGATTTATACTATAATAGTATTGTATTTTACTATAATAATATTAATTTTGCTGGTTGGTCTTTACTATTTAAGACAATGGACTGAGTTGGTAATTTTGAAAATAAAAATAAATTTTCTTTAAACAGACTTCACTTACTAGCAGAAACTTTAATTTTCCTGATTAAAAGCATGAAAACTTTAACTAATATAAAGAATATATTCATTAATGTAGATCTATAAGGACAGAGAATAATGTCTAAAATAATACACTGTTAAGTGAAAAAGCACACTGAAGAAAAATACGTGATATTTAATTTTTGTGTTTTTTTTATTTTTAAATAAACATTTTGCAAATCCACAGAGAAAAATCTAGAAAGATATGTACCAAACTGTTACAGTGTTATGTACAGGGACTAGCGACCTGGATATTCTACTTTATGTACTTTCTAAAAGATATTTTGCATCGAGCAGCTACTATTTTGAAAATATTTTTAAATGAATTATTAGGAACCTAGTAATATATATATTGTGATGAATATTTCTTGACTTTCAAGATTTAGTAAAAGAGACACAGTTATCTTTATTTAATCACGTCCTGCGTTCAGAGCAGATAGATATTTGATGTCCTCTTTTCAAAGAACATACACTTTACTCTGAGAGCAAAGTATATTTTTCTTAGTGAGGTTCAAACCTCATGCTTAAACACAGGCAAAATCTTGTTTTCAAACCACCAAACTAAGCTACAGTACTTCAGGTCTGAGCCCACAATGCGGCTTTCCAAGGACCTGAAAATGAACAGCTTATTAAGTGTCACAACTCACTTCATATGCATTGAAGCAGTAGTTACCTTGGTTATCAAGTTTTTCAACGTGACTTTTCAAAATTCTCCACTGTTTTCTGATGCTATTTGTAAGCTGCTCTCTCACAGTTTCACAGGAAAGGTCCCACATACTCTCTCTGCTCAGTTCCCCGGCATCTTCTTCAACATCAGAGATAACCTACAAAAAATGGTGAGAGTTCAAAAGGAAAGACCAGTATCTTAAAACAGCTTTAGATACTCAGGCAGTACTCATCAGATTGTTTGCCAGACAGAGCCTTACCAAAAGCATTTCTGTGCTACATCTTACACATATATGGCCCAGGAATTAACATAAATAACTTAAGAAAAAGTAATTAATATTGAAGATAGAAACTCCCCAATTCAGGTTTCTCCAAACCTGAATTTGAATCCAATTATATTTAGCAATAACAGTCATGGAGCTGTTTGAAGAAGATATTCACTACCTAATGTTGTATTAGATGCTTTCACGTGTTATTTAATTCTCAAATCACGTTATAATGTGGGAAAACTGAGGCTTAGAGAAGTACAGTATCACACAGCCAAAAGGTAGAACTGAGATGTGAAGTTAGATCAACTTGTTTTAATACTAGGCTGCTTATAGAAATAAACCTGTGAAATAATCTCCAAAGTAAAAGCAACTGCTAATCCTATTTTCCTCATATAAATTTTTATACAACCAGAGATATTTTTGTTTGTATTCTACTGACATGAAGTCACAGAAAAATGCAGCAAACTTTATTGCTACATAATCATACAGAATCAAAGCAGGATAAGGAACATGGGGAAACAATACTAAAACATATATGTGTCCTAATAACCTGCATCAATATAAAATATTCCTAATTTGTTATTAACATCCAGGAAGGTAGAGAAAGATACTTTCCTAATTTGAACAATAAAAAATCTTGCTGGGGAAAAAAGGAAGAAAAGACAGAAGATGAAAAGAAAGGAGGGCTGATTAGACTGCTTTCACATGCAGATGCAGCATTGCTGGTAACTAGCATTTTCTATCAACGTTGTTATATTATTTTCAGATTGTAATCACTAATGTGAACTTGCTGAAACCCAGATTTTAAACTTACATGTAAAGCAATGAAGTAAAATGAACTTTTTATTATTATGTAACTTTTTTCAGACTTCTACATGTATCACTCTTGCTGCATCAAATGCTTCCCCATGTTTTCTACCTCAAAACAGCTATTTTTAAAGAACTACCCCAAATGTCACTTTCTCTCTGATGCCTTCCTTGATTGCCATAACTGTTCAATTATATTTTACACATCATACCATCCTATTACAGCACCTAACATGTGTAACAATTACTTCTTCACATGTCTTGTCTCTCCAAAAAAGAGCTTCTTGAGGGAAAAAGTCAAAATCTTTTTAGCTTTTTCTTTCCAGGGACTAGAACATAATGAACATAATAAATTTATGGACTGAATGACTATTTGGTTCCCAAAGTTAACAAAGTTTCACTCTCTAAAAAGTAGAGCACACAATACCTTTGAAAGGAAGTCTGCCACAGTGGTTACAACCACGAGCTCTGGAGTGAACAGACAGTTCTGTCACGTGTGATACTGGGCTACTAACTCTTGTGCCTCAGTTTCCCCTGCTATAAAATGGGGTAATTATGATATCTAAATCATCAAATATTTGAAATAACTTCTCATATATTATAAAAATATTATGAAATGAGACAATGCTTACAAAGCATTTATTATAATACATGGCACAGAATAAGTTCCTGGAAAATCGTCTCCATCATTTCCCAGAGCATGTCTGAAAACACACGGGGACATATTTCTGGTTGTCACAGTGACTGGGGGTAGCAAAGGAGTGACCCTCCTGTTCACATACCAGTAGTGTCCCCATTGAGAATACCTATCTAGTGTTTTAGCTGTTCTAATTAGCAATCTGAAGACTACATTAAAGGGCAAAGAGCTACTTACAGTTCCTGCACTATCATCGGCTCTTTCTCTAGGTTTCTTCTTTTGGGGGGAAAGAAGAGAAATCATTTCCTTTTTCATTTGCTGAAGAACCTTCTTAAGTTCAGCATTTTCCATTAGGATTTGTTTCTGACGATATTCATAATCATTCAAGAGAATTTTATACATTTCATCTTCATTTCTAGAAAGAGACTGTCAGTATGAAAATGCAGAATAGAAAGAAAAGTCTGATCAAATTTGTCAATGTAAACAGGACTTTACCTGGCTTCAGTTTTACCAGTCCTCCAGGAGCCTCTTTTTCCATCAGCTCTTCCCACATAATTTAAAACGTCCATAGCTGCAAACACACAAATACACAAAACAAAACCAATTTTTACCATACATGTTTAAGTGCTTAAAATTCTAATACACTCTACACACATGAGGGACATTGGTGAGCCTGGTATACAGGTTAGGATTTCAAGCTCTAGTTGCACCACTTGTAAGCACTGAGATCTTGTCTTGGCAAGTTATCTAACTGCTAAGCCTATTTATTCACTGATACAACAGGAATAATGAAATGAAAGAGTCGTGAAGACTGAAGGAAATGTTAAAGCACTTAACATAGCAGAGATGAACCCTGTGTCTGGCACATAGTAAGTACTTAAATGTTACTTTATCATTATTAATTTCGTTATCAGTGGTTGGCAAACTATGGCATGCAGGCCAGCTGCCTGATTTTGTAAATAAAGCTTAACTGGAACACAGCCACACTCATTTGTTTACATATTGTCTATAGCTACTTTTTCCATACTATGGCAGAGAGAAGTAGGTGCCACAAGACTTATAGATCCTACAAAGCCAAAATATTTAGCATATGCATGCACCTTTATGAAAAAAATTTGTCAAACCCTGTTAACATTAACATCATCATCATCATCTAAAGAGTCAAAACCCTTGACAATAGTAATGTCTCTTCTGACCCAGGTGGAGATGCAAGCATTTGGCATAAGAAGGAAATAAGATGAGAGGTAAGTTATTATAATTTTAGAGTTAATAAAATCATTATGAAACTGTCACTTCCAATTGGGTTTGGACCAGAAAATAGCAAAACCCCTATAATGTAAAGGCTCTGTTCCCAGAGTTAAATCCTTAATAAACTTCTCTAACTAAAGGCTACATCTATACTTCCAGCATTTCATCCTGTTTTTAAATTTTTCTCTCCTTCATGAATATGAGGCTAACCAACTTTAAAAACCAATGATTATCCAAATGAGTAAGATTTATTATCTTAGGAAACCAAGATTTCCAACCTTGTCTTAATTGCCTATTACTGCACATTTTCAATTTTCCAATAATTTTTTAAATATTCAAAAACCTGCAATAGCTCTGCTGTACAGAATGACAGTGATGTAGTCAACACTGAACTGCTTGCTGACAGAAGGCAGAGCCCACCATGTGACAGCGTGAAACATATGTTCACCAGCCATTTTTGAAGTCCAGGTTCAATTTGGGAGAGATAGTTCCGGAGTATCACTGTATGATATAGTTTAAAGGACTGCCTATAAACCACTTGGAAACCACTATTCAATAAACACAGACTTTTGTTCCCTGAATTAGACCAGGCCATCAAAACTATACCGTATAGCTCTACTTTTTTGTGTATGTAGCTTTACATTTTAATCTATACTATTTTCTTGAAAGTTTGCATATTTGTATGAAATAGCTATAAACTGAAGTTTTCAAAAGAATACTACTGGAAAAAAGTATACCTTAACACACACATATGCATAACTTCTATAGCCTATCCTTCTGACCAGCTGCTTCAAACACACACAGCTAAACTTCTTTAAAGGAACTCAAACTGACATGAATGATTTGGTCTGATGAACAATTTTATGATGTTGACTCTAAAATCATACTTCTTTTGATACTCAGAAACCAATCCTGATTTTTAATATTATCAGTTCTTTTCTGTGGAAGATTAGAGTGTCCTCTGGCTTAGTTTTTCTCTAGGAATTAATCCTACAACTGTCATGTTAAAAAATACATGCAACTAATGAAGCAAAGCAAAATGACGTATTTTTCACTACTCTAAATCTCAAAGTTTATATGAACATTCATACACCATCTAAAAATCAACTGTATAAAGAAGGAAAATAACCCTTCATCAGTTATTGTGCTCAAACCTTTTACATTTATTTCTTAGCATAATATTAGCTTATTTATTCCCTTGGCTGCATCTTAGCCAGCTGCTTACCTATTTTTTTATCCTTCTTATTCATAACAAGTTGATGTAGACGTTCCTTCAGTTTATTATATTCACGCTCTTTTCTCTTCATATCATGATTATACTGAGTAGCTCGACTTGCAATGATATTTTGTAGTTTTTGTACCTGGAAAAAAAACATTTTCTATGAGGATTATAAACCCAGTTAAAATTCATAAATTCAAGAGAAAAGAAGTCCTAGCATTCATCTCCCCATATAATAGTTTTAAAATTCTAGACTGATTTTCTTCTCTGTAACCACTGAATCGCATAAAGTTTTATTTTTTAATTCTGAAAATTCTAGAAGTGTTAATTTCTAAATTATCTTCTACATCTTTTAACTTACATATAGACTCTGATCATTTAAAACCCAGAACCTCTTATGTTAGTATTAAAATGATTAAAGCTTCATTTGAAATAAACAGAATTTATCTGTGATCATTTTTAGTGACCTCCTCATACTAACTTGCAATTACTTTACTTCTTATCCATCTGTGACAAGACAAAATTAGCCAGTAGCACAGAGCAGCAGGTTAACAGGCTAATTTTTCTGATCTAAAACAGTTCTCAAAAAAATCCAAAGTATAGACAGAATCCAGGTCAATCACTTGCTAAGTACCTCAGATGTGCCAGGTACTCCTGTTCAAACTTTATATCTGCTTTGGATTCTCAGGCAGTTCTTTTTTTTTTTTTTTTTTTTTTGTAGATTGTTACCAGCTGTGGTTATAATACACTAAGCCAGATGTAGGGGGGCAGAGGGGTGGAGGACTGTGGCGGGGAGGGTTCCTGACCTCGCAGTTAAATAGGACATAATACTGTACACAGAGGTCCACTGAGGCAATTTGAAGGCAAGATGAATAAATGGTTCTTTCTTTTTTAAAGTAAAGTAGCTCTTACAGTCACCTCATATTTCAAAAAATTCACTTAAATTTTGTCCGCAAGAACCGACAACTCACCTCATCTTTCTCATTTTTCAGTAGCTGATGCAAATTCCTGTTCTTGCATTGTAACTGTCTGTCTCTTTCCTGAAGCCCAATCATTTCCCTCCTGGAGGTTTCCAGTTGTTCCTAAAACATTTATATGCAATTCTGATTAAAATTAACATAGGATTCAGAATAACTGATTTCTTAAAAGATCAATAACAAGAGGTTATACATACTAGTATTTGTTAGCTAAAACTGAAGGTTCATGGCATGTGAAATATTTAAAGCAATTATTATAAAAGCTCAATACTATAAAATTTAAATTTACATGTCAAATGTTAATTTGAATACCAAATTTTGTATGTATATACAAAAGAGCTTTGGTTCCCCCTGAAAGACTCTTCAGGTATTCCATAATGCTGCCACTGAATAGTTTTAATATTTCTTTTTAATACTTTTTAACACTTCTACAGCACGCTTTTGAGTATCTCCTCAGGTACAGCAATCTCGTCCATTCTCTGAAAGTTAATTTGGCTTTGAGAAGAGCCAGATGGGATTCAGGGTAAAGTCTGAAGAAGATGGGTAACCAAGCAAAGTGGCAACACTTCAAGTCAGAGTATGGGACTACCACAGGACGCCATTTCTCCCTTTCGGGTGGCAAACTCTTTGAAGGTATCTCCCACAGAGCAACAAGAGCAAAGCCAGAACTGGCACAGTATAAGATGCTGACTTTCAACTTGTTCCACACATTTTCTGAGGAGCTCTGCCAAGTTCTGCATGAGGCCACTCATTTGGAATATTTTTTAAAATAGTTCTATCATTATAAAGTATAAAAGCCAATCAAGTCATGTCATAATTCACCATAAATAACAATGTGAACAATTTCTATAATAATAGGTCTCAAGAAAACACAGAAAAATTTAGTTTTATGTCAGAATTTTTAGCACCTTCTTTGGAATGTGTAAAACTTCTTACCATGCCTGACCAGCTGGCATGGCTTAACTTAAAGGCACTGGGCCAGTTGATACATGCCATATATGCCAAATCCGAGACTCAGTGATTATCAACACTTTGCCTGAACTCAGTGTCACCCCTGAAAATCTCACATTCCCCTCCTTCCTTTCTTATGTCAGTGAATCACACCACCATCTCAGTAGCTTAAGATAGAGATCTGGACACTATCTTAAATTCATGACTCTCATTCCCCAAATTCAATTTTTCATAAAATCCTATCTATTCTGCCTCCTAAATGTTCTTCATATCTCACTTACTATTCCCATTGGTACTACCTTATACCTTAGCTCAATTCAAAATCTCTGCAAAGGCCTGCTAATAGGCATCCTTGTCACCAGGCTTTCTGAGCCCCTCAACTCATCCCAAATACAAATCCGCACTCCCCCTATAATGTCTCCACCCTACTGCCAGAATGGCATTTGCGTATCTTCTGCGCTTCCTTGCTTCTGTACAGTGCCTTTCATGCCATCTTGGGCCTAGGCTCCAGCCTCACCCCATGCCATTCTTCATCATTCACCACTAACTCCAGCCCCTATTTGTGGTTCCCTGAAAGTGCAACACTCTCTCATACCTCCATGCATTTATACAAGTTTTATGCTCTGCCTAAAATGCCTTTGCCAAAACTAGCAAATTCCTATTTATTCTTCAAATCTCATATCAAGTGTTAGGTCTCTGTGAAGCCTTCCCTTACCTCCTACACCAAGAACAATTAATGAAGGAAATAATTTTAGTTCAATGTGTCACCTTCCACTGGACTGCCATCTCCTTATGAGCTGAGACTGGGGTTTCACTCATCTGTGAAACCCAGTGCCTAGCAACATAAACACATTTTGTTCAACAAATTGAACGAATCATATCTATATAATTCTAGCTATATCTAGAAACCTTTCAGGATAGATCAGCAACTTTCCCTACTGAATACACATTTCTATCCACAGTTGACCCCAAATACCAGATTCTCGCCCAGGTCAAATCCCAAATTACAAAACATTTTGGGACAATATTCTATGCTCTGGGTAGTCCTACTAAATGACCATTCCTTGAAGGAAAGGCCCAACAGTACCAGATTACCAACATCATTATACAAGTAGTCAGTAGTAACTTACAAGACATCTGGCCAAGGGTGCCCAGATATAAAAATACTGTCTTCTAGGTTTATAACTCTGGATTACCCCAATTCATAAAAAGACCTTCGATGGTTCTCTCTGATCTGGATTAAAGTAGTATCCACAACTTAACCTTTTTATAAGCCTGGAGGATACCAACTATCCCCTCCAGCGCAGCACAGTTCCCCGTCAGCCAAGACACACACTTGGATAATCTCTATCCCTTAGGCATATACACAAAAACCTAAAAACATAATTAAAGAGAAAACGTATTGTTACCACTGCTTATGAACTAAGAAGACAACATAAGATAGCATTAGGCAGTGACAGGCTGGTAGGGACAGATGCTATCAAAGAGCTAAGATGGTCTCTAAATCAACCCCCAAATGTTTCTAAGTGTTTGTACACTGGCCAATCCTGTGCGGCTTTTTTTCAGCACATTTCCTACTATTTTCAAATATTTTATAGAGAGTGAGCCTATTATTCTCTTATAATGCTCAGAGATTCAAGATTCTGAGGGAGTTTTCTTGTGTATTATCTGTTCTTGGACGGTGAGGGTTGGGGAGAGGATAGACACAAAAATAAGAGAAAGCGGAGGGGTATGGACCAATAGGTGAAAAACTAAAAGGAAGCTGATTTTCTGAGAATATGCAAATACACAATCTTTGACCTTCACAAATAAGGAAACCCAATACAGAATAGTATATTTAGGAAAATAAATTCGACTTGGATTGATTACATATATATTTTTTACTTCAATAGACTTAAAAGGCACAAGTTGAATTCCAAGTACATATTGTACAGTGGTGCAGTCTAGGCTTTTAGCATACCCATTAGTGTATGATACACATTATACCCAATAGATAATTTTTCATCCCTCACCCCTTCTCGTGCTCCCCCCTTTTTATGTCTCCAGTGTCAATTATTGTACTTGTGTGTCCTTATGTAGCCATAGCTTAGCTCCCACTTGTGAGAACATGCTGCATTTATTTTTCTGCTCCTGAGTTACTTCACTTAGGATAATGGCCTCCACAGTTCCTTTCATCCAAGTTGCTGTAAAAGACACTATACACTATTTCATTCTTTCTTATGGCTGAGTAGTGCTCCATGGTGTATATATATATATACACACTAGATTTTCTTTATCCAAACATTAGTTGATGGGCATTTAGACTGATTCACTATCTTTGTGATTGTGAACTGTTCTGCAATAAACATATGAGTGCAGGTAAATATGATATAATGATTTCACTTACTTTGGGTAGATACCCAGTAGTGGGATTACAAGATTGAATGGTAGATCTACTTTTAGCTGTGAAATCTCCATACTAATTTCTATAGAGGCTGTACTAATTTACATTCCCACCAATAGTATATAAGCTTTCCATTTTCACTGCATCTACCATCATCTATTGTTTTTTGATTTTTTAGTAATGGCCATACTAATCAGAATAAGATAGTATCTCACTGTAATTTTTAACTTGCATTTCTCTGATTAGTGACGTTGAACATTTTTTTCATGTTTGTTGGCCCTCTGTATATTGGATTTATATTACATCTTTAATAATATATAACCATAGTAAGTCCCTATCATGACTTTGAACACTTTGTTCCCTCTGCTCAAATATTTTTTTTAAAAAGGAAAACAAATAAGAAAGTAAAGAAAGAAAAAGCAAGCAGGCAAACTAGAAACCAGCAATATTCTATATTTTAAGGTAGCAAGTCAATGGTTTTGTGAAAAATATTTCCGTTTATCAGAGAAAAGCAAGTTTGCTAAACCATTTTTTCTCTGGTCTTTTCTAGAGTCGCAGGGACTTGTAAAAATTAGACATTATCTGGCCTGCTTTCATTATTGAGCTTTAGTTCCTCTGGCATGGATGCCCCAAGAATATCGTTCTTGGAATTAACTGGTGCAGCCTCTCACAATAAAACTTTTAAACGAAGTATCCATTTTATTAAGCAAGACTGGATGGGGTGAGGAAAGCCTTATTTTATTTTCCTCAGAATATATTTCCTAATGTAACCTTCTATAGATCCAGCAAGTCACTGAACAGTTCACAATACTGATGCCTTCAATATACCATAGATATTAGGAAACAGCATTACTGATTTGCTCAAATCACATTAAAAGTTCATTTTTACTTACCAGTTTTTTTAAATTCCTAAAGCTTTAAAAAAAGAAAACTCTAAAATTTGTTTAACAAAGCCAATGAAAATTTATAGTATTGAATTATATAATAATGGCACTGAAATATAGATAAGCAATTTCTACCTTAAGTTTTGTGTAGCAGTTCTGTAGATGATCCATATCACTTCCCAATTTCAGATTCTGTGTTTCCACATTTTCCTGAGCTAGAAGGTTCTTCCGCTGAAGTACAAGTAGCTCATTCATACAATTTAAAACAGCTACTATATTTAATTCTCTCTTTGTCTCTTTACCTTTGGATTCTTCATATAATGAAGGAAAACCAAAAGTAGTCAATTCCTGGTAGGCGAAAATGTGTTTTAAAAGTTGGTTACTGTTGGAAAGATGTTGGTCAAAGGATACAAAATTTAGGATAGGAGGAACACGTTCAATAGCTCTATTGTACAACACGGTGACTACAGCTAATAACAATGTATTGTGTTCTTAAAATTGATAAGAGTAGACTTTGTGTTCTTCCCATCAAAAATAAGTATGTGAGGAGCCGTGTTTCCCCAAAAATAAGACAGAGTCTTATATTTATTTTTCCTAAAGAAGACATCCTAGGGCTTATTTTCAAGGGATGTGTTATTTTCCCCTCAAAGCCTTAGCTTACAGCATGCACAGGATGGCCGGGACCTGACATGGGGAGCCAAACTTGTTGGTGGGGCTGCCCACACCTTTCCAGTCACCTCTGGCATAGTAGCTGTCATGCTGGGGCAGATGAAAAGGGCTGCTCCTCTTCTTTACTGCTCCGTTACGACGAAATGCATGGGTTGTGCAGATATGCTGCGTAGCCACGCCCATCACTAGGTCTTATTTTCGGGGTAGGGCTTATATTGTGCAAATGCTTAGAAATCCTGCTAGGGCTTATTTTATGGGTAGGTCTTATTTTTGGGGAAACATGGTAATACAATGTATACATATGTCAAAAACATCACATACATGATAAATTATATAACTTATTTATCAATTAAAAATTAAATATAAAATAAATAAGTTAATTTTTTTTTAAAAGTTGGTTACTGGACAACTTAATAGAGAAACACAAGATAGAGACCTTTGATGAGAAAAAGAGAAAACTATCCTGAGATAGTTAATAGTAAATATCCCAAAGGACAAAGAATTAAAAGAAGTGGGTTCTTTTAGTCTCGGCTCTGCCATCTCCTGTGACCTGGAGCAAGGCACTTGAGTTTCTGTCAATAAAATGAGGGTTGGACTACTGGTGAAGGAGCCCCTGGGACAATGGGGAGGCCAAGCTTCTCCAAACAAGAAAGGTAACCTGGTATCTACAC